ATTTTATGTTTGATCCTCTTTCAAAACATCTTGTGTTTCTTTTTATAAGCATTACTCGATTGACCTGAAATATTAGTAACAACTTCGTCGAGTGGAAATTTTTAAAACCTCTCTCATTTATTTAAGAAACGCAGCGTGGCCCAATTTACCAGGGGATTTACCTTCCTTAGCACCGTCGCACGGCCTCTCCCGAGTCTTCCGCTTCTTCCCAAGTCCCCATCGTGCCATTCTCCCTCTAAATAAATATACTGACGCGCCGCCCGAGCATACAAATCCCTCCCGGAAGTGATCCGCAGCAGCGAAGGGGCTGATGTATATCTTTCTATTAGTACGCTCGAGTGTCGTATATAAGTTTCTTTTACACTCAATAAGATCGATACCAAAACAATTTATTGTATTTGTACTCTATCGTAAAGGTATTAACCCTCAGACGTCACACTTGGGGTAGGTCACCTTAAAAGTCAAACTAGTGCGAATTGGGATCTTGCCAACTTTGACCCTTTATGTCTTCTTCATTTGTTAACGAAAACATAACTATTTATATCAAAACTGGCGTAAAATTTTACAAGAAATAGATTGATATTAGTTTTGAAACAAAAATAATTTGTTAATAAAAATTCGATTGAAAATTTTTTATCGAAAAATGACTTTTTTTATTCTTTGTGTTTTTTTATATATAAATAATGGCTTTTTAAAGTTTTGCTATTTGCCTCATTTTCTGTAACTTGATGTTTATTTTGCATTATATACTGTTTAGAAATGAGAGTGTAATAAAAGCTTATTATGTATGAAAATCGTAAATAAATGTAGCACTGGTGCTTATATTCAATATTTTTATATTATGCATAATCGGTATAGATGGGGTGTACTTTTAAAAAAACTTTGTGTGACCGGGTTGTACTAAATTGTAGCAGGTAGCTAAAATTTAATCCCCGACAATCCGTCTTTGTCTATGCCGCTTCAATTTCTCGGTCCATTTCTCTTATAAGTAAACAATATAAAAACAGCATTTCAAAACAGGCTACTTTAAGCATCATAACCGGGTTAAGAGGGTTTTTAGTAATTCAAATAAAATTATTCAATATTATTATCAAAATATTTATTTAAATTTAATGAATAGACTTTTATTCCACACAAAAATATATGTATTTTGAAAATTCAAATTATGGTGAGTAAATGTAGTGTTGTATAAATGTACAATAAAGAAAATAAAAAAGTAGTTATATTAAAATTCATCCTCTGAATATTCTGATGAATTATCTTCGTCTCCTAGATTGATAACGATAGGTTCCACAGTAACGTCAATTAAGTGTTCCCACATTTTCTCCTCTTCTTTCTGTACATGATGTATACATCTTTGCCAGTTATCTGCAGTTACTCGTTCCAAGGAATTTTTTAACAAAATTTTCACGTCACTTAATTTAAACGTCGTATTACTTCGCGCTACATCTCCTTTTACCTGCGCCCAGACTAATTCGATTGGGTTAGTTTACAGTGATAAGGTGGTAACCGTAGTACCGTTATTTGGCGATTTGTTGCCATTTCATCGATAACATATTTTTTCTGATCTTTATTAAGATTGACAAGTGTCAAAAGTTCCTTTTTCACCATATTTGTTTCAAAAGAAATGTTTTTTCCGGATAACCATTGAATTATATCGGCTTTCCTCCAAGCAGTCGTAGGCGTCCGCTCGGTCTGCCGTGAATGGTAACTGGCATTATCCATGACAATTACAGACCCCGGAGGAATAAGATCCAACATCTGTGTAAAATACTCTTCGAAAACATCTGCATTCATGTCTTCGTGATAGTCACCTGTATTTTTAGATTCAGATAAAAGTAAACCGCCATCTACAAAACCACTGGCACTACCTATATTTGTCACTATTAATCTTCGTCCTTTACCTGAAGGTGCCTTGAACCCTGTTGAAAGGAAATATTACCACGCCCATGGCCGGTTCTTATCTCGGGGTTTTATTACTCTCTTTCATTTCCAAACAGACTATAAACATATTATTTTAAACAATATTATCCATAAATATGTTATTAATGAAAAAAAAGTTTGAAAAATTATTAACATAACTAAATAAACAATGTTCTAGTATATTTGACATGAAAATTATCGTGGTGGGGGGAACCCTCGGTAGCTGCTACCTGAGAAACGCCAGCAGTTCAAAAAAAAAAAAAAAACGGTGGTGCGAATTCGCATTAGTGTGACTTTAGAAGGTTAAGCTAACTCAAATAAATTCAAAAATTTTTATTTAATATTTGCTAGTAATAAATTATCGACACCTTCGGCTTCGTTAGTTTTTATGCTAGCTGAATAATCGTTTCTCTGTTTATAACTGTATGTCTTAGGCTATGTTAAGTTTAAAGCCTTGCTGTTCGTTTATAACTGGGCGCCAAGAAATGTTCGCACAAGGCGTTGATGACACTGAGCTCATGGGAATAATATATTTTTGCATTATTTAAAATTCGAGAATATTACCGATTTTGAGTTAATTTTCCATGTTAGAAAATTCTGGTGATTTGCTGGGGCAATTCTGACATCGGATTTGGATTTAGTGATTCAACATACACTGGAATACATGGTCAGACCACGATTTTCAGTCGCTGTTAAATCATATCTGGATCATAGAAGCTAATTTATTAATTTTGTGGATTTTTAAGTTTTTTTTTAAGGTTAGCCTTATGGGCCAAATTTGACTTCGGATTCATGTTCAGCGGGCCAAGATACATGGGAATATAAAGACCCTGACCATTAGTTTCAACCGTTCAAATCATACCTGACTTTTAAATGTTGATTTCTCGATTTTGTGGGTTTTTAAGCATTTTTTGATGTTGAAACTGGCTGTAGGAGAAACTTCGCAGAAATGAACACTCCTTTTCTTTCACCATGTTCTGTAAAAACTCCCTTTATTGAGCAATACAAATGATAGAATCGATTTTCTTTTTGTATGTATTTACACAAAACGATTGAATAGAAAAGAAAATACAAAAAATATGAATGACAGATATCTATTTCAAGTACATAAATAGAAAAAAAGAGGAAATAAAAACTTGGGAAATTTTCCTGTGCTGTTGATGTTGAATGATTTTGAGCTGTTTTCACGCTCTGGAACATGGAAATATCTACAGGGTGTAAGAAGTTTGACTGCCATTACTTCAGCATGAGATAGAGTAATCATAAATGAACAAAAAAGTTGTATATTACTGGGGCGGGCGTAAGATTAACAGTTTTCAAAATACAGTCAGTATTAATATTGGGGAGTTTCATCACAACGTGGCAACAGCGCTTAACCTGCTGATGCACACCACGTGTACACGCAGCAGACTTGTCCTACGGAAAAAATGTAAACAGCTATTATTGTGACACATTTAGTAAATTTCTAGACAATTGTTTTCCAGTTTTTATATAAATAAAATAAAATGTACCAATTTTGTAGTACGAAGATAGTGTTGTGTTTAAATTTTAGCTCGAATTTTAATAAAAACGAATTATAAATTAAAAATAATTTAGGTACTTACCAAAAAGCAAAATTCAGTAATTTTTAAACGCACATATACAAAACAAATTACAACATATCCTCAAAATGTCTACCATCATTTTCAATGCACGCACGACACCTTCGAATCCAATTTTCGCGCACTCGCTGGAAACATCTCAAGAAAAGGAAATAGTGGTACGCAAAAAACACTCCGACACGGTCGAATCCAGATACCAACTGAATTGTGTATTGATGGTTGCTGGACACCTTAGTACCTCGTGTTAATAAACTGCCGCGCCGTTGTCACATTGCTCGATATGAATTTTATCTAATTTTAAATTTATTACAACGCTAATTATTTTTTAGAATTAAGCATAAAGAAGTTCAAAAAAGTTGTATTGGATTTTATATTATTAATTAATAGAACTGTTTATCAAGAGATTTTCATAATTTTTTTCTCGGAAATGGTTGAGTTTAGGACCCATGTCATATATGTTTTTTTTGTTTAATATATTCTACCGGCTGTTAAAATTAAGGCAGTCAAACTTCTAACTCCCTGTATAATATCAGTTGTTTTCTACAACTTATCAATGTGAAAAGTCAAAACTTTTAAACCGTATCGAAGAAAATTTTAAAGCGGATAATGGACTGACACGAACAATCCATAACTGACTGACAAAATCCTACAATGAAAAATGTATCAGAAATGCCCTTTTCTCCGTTTTCCTCCTTCTCGAGCACTTTCAAGTTTCACGAAGTTCCAGTATGAGACAGGACTTTTCAATTATCGCCGAGAAGAAATAATGGAAGGGTTGAGCAGGCGCCCCTGCCACTTCTCGAAGATCCAACCGTTTGGGGTTCGAGTATCCAGACTGATAAATATTAGTGGTCGGGAGAGAACGGGTATAGCCGACTGCGATCAAACTTTACACTGTATCCAGGATTGGGAATGGATTAGGGATGCTGGACTGTTTATTAGTAGAGGATATACGGTTACCGCCGTACATTATAATAAAATAAAAAATATATAAAAATCCTAACTCATCTGATTGATCTTTTTTTAATATCGTTTCAAATTTTTGCAAACAATTAGGTGTTACTATTTTCCTTAACTAGTGGATTCGTGAATCTCAATGTAAATAACCTCTGGCATTGCTCTAGTTTAGCCGAACTATACCACTGTCACTACGTGTAGTAGATAACAACCAAATGAAACCGTGAACAGTTTAAATTTAAGCAGAATACGATCCTGTTCCAAACGCTTAAGAAAGTCATCATAGGTTAGCCTTTACTTGTCAGTTAACATGTTGTGTTGGCGCCTATGAAAAGCCGCTATTGCCAGTGGACTTCATACCTGGTATGATATGACGGGGTGACAAACCGGTAATTTTAAGAGTAAGTGTGCATTTTTTCCATTATAGCACTAGTACTATAATGAACTGTACTAAAATACTGCATCAAAACGTATCTTTTGACATGCCCGCAGATAAATATATTTATTTGGTCTTCTTACCTCTGGAGGCTCGCTGCTTTCCTCCGAACTAGTGCCATTCTCGGAGTCCGTGCCGGAAGCGGAACTGCTTCCCTCGCTGGCCTCCTCGTCCTCGCTGTCATTCTCATTACCACTGCCTTCTTCGGCGTTAACTGGAACAGTCACAGTTAAAAAATGAACGCACTGAGGTAAATGTCTCACAAGAAATTAATATACACTGCGTCCCCGGATAGATGAACCGACTAGTGTGAGAGACAACAAATATTTACGTTGGAAAATTGACTTCTGGGAGTAAGCCCTGCTGATTTGTGATTCAAAATTTGTTTTAATTTTACATCCGTAAAATCTAGTATGCCTTGGAAATTTAGAATAATCTTTATTCACCGATAAAGTGCCATTTCAGAAATGGCAGCTGTTCCAAGGTGACTCCATGGTAGGTAGACTACGCGATACTATGTATTATTTATTTTTAAATAATATATCTTCTTAAAATACAATTTTAAGACTGGTTTGGCCCCTTCTGCTGGTTCTGCCCTAATGCAGCAGTGATGCCAATCGTTTTTTTTTTGTAGCCCATAACCGACAAAAACTAACAGTTTTAAAAACAATAATTTCTTTAATGCTAGAAATTAGAACGCACTAAATGACGTCACGAATTAGCGCAACAGCAAACACCCGTTTAATACATTTATTTTGCGCGAAAACTTAATAATTAATTTAACAACCTCTAAGAGATTTCTAATATTTTCACAACGTGACTATAATAGATTAATCGTAGACATTATTAGTGTCGCATTAGGCGAAATGACTTTTTTTAACTAATGATAATGCGGGAAACAATTACTTTGCAGATTACTCCTCTGCTGGTGGTACAAAGCAAAGTTTGTGGCAATAGGCATTGAGTAGCAATGATATTTGATATATGACATATGCTTTATAGGTTATATCTCACCCACAATCAATACATGTCGGTAGAGAAATATCCAAATTGGTATATCGTTCGCCGTTCGCCTCATCTATGGCATACTAATGAGAACTATAAGTTCAAAATTGATCTGTATCTCGCGATTCTGGTGACTAATCATTTTAGTTGTTTACTAGATATTATGGGTGTAATTCAATGCTGGACGGGGTATATAGTAGTCTATATGCCCCGTCGTCATTAGTTAAAAATCCCTATTTTTGCGTAATAGTAATGTTTCAAAGACTGCAGCACCTATAATTTTTTTAATGTTTTTCATCTTAACAACTTTAAAAACCCATTTTAATATTTAAGGAGGTAATAAGCAGAAAAGCCTCAATAAACATGGGTCTGCAAAGTAACGGTTGCGGAGATATGGAATGTTTTATGTTTTTTAGCCCCTTTTTTATTTTATTTTCTTATAATAGTTGGTTGATGTTTAGTGAAATAAACAGTACGTATTTGACAGTTGTTCTCAGTGCACAAGTTTTCTTTCGCTATGGCTGGTTACTCTAACGCAGAATTAACAGACATGCATTTCATGTATGGTCGTGCTAATGGGAACGCCACCGAAGCGCGACGTCTTTATGTTGACGCTTATCCAAATCGCCAGATTCCTTCACAACGCATGTTTGGAAGAATTCACCAAAGATTGCGTGATACCGGTTCCTTGAGCAAACAGTGCCATTTATCCGGAAGACCAAGGTCGGTATCCACTCCTAGAGCAGAAGAAGAAATTCTAGCACTGGTAGAGCAGAATCCAGGTACGAGTGTGCGGAGAATATCAGCCGAGGTAGGAATTAGTGGTCCTCTTGTTTGGAGAATCCTTCACGAGCAACTGCTTTATCCATACCATGTGCAACGAGTACAGGCCTTAAATCCAATAAATGATCATCAAGCACGTTTGGTTTTTTGCCGCTGGTTTCTACGTCATGATGCTGAAGACCCTCGTTTTCTTGCAAACATTCTTTTTACTGATGAGGCCGGGTTCACAAGAAATGGAGTGTTTAATTTTCACAATACGCATATTTGGGCCGACGAAAATCCTCATGCTCTAATAGAATCTGGACATCAGGCACGTTTTTCATTAAACATTTGGATGGGTATTGTAGGTGACAGGTTTCTAGGTCCTGTTGTTTTACCAAACCGATTAACAGGCGCTGCTTACCTCAACTTTCTGCAGAACACACTGTATGAGTTTTTGGAAGACATTCCTTTGAATCAGAGGCAACAAATGTGGTTCCAGCATGATGGTGCTCCAGCTCATTTTTCCATGGCCGTTAGAGAGCATTTACACCAAACTTTTCCACATAGATGGGTAGGAAGGGCCGGACCTGTTTTATGGCCTCCAAGATCGCCTGATCTGAACCCTCTAGATTTCTTTGTTTGGGGATATTTGAAGACATTAGTGTATGGTACTCCTGTAAATAGCCTGGAAGAGCTGCAGCTACGGATTAATCAAAAGTGTCAAGAAATCCAAACCAAGGAGGGTGTTTTCGAAAGAGTTCGAATATCGTTGAGACGAAGATGTCGTGCCTGCTTGGAAATGGACGGAGGGCACTTTGAACATCTTCTGTAACCTTGTTTTTTGTTTGTTAAAAGCTTTCTATGTCAGTTTATTCCTAATAAAATAAAATGTTTGAATAACGAATAGTGGTCCATATCTCCGCAACCGTTACTTTGCGGACCCATGTTTATTGAGACTTTTCTGCTTATTTTGGTTCATACCTCCTGAAATATTTTACACTCTTTTTTTAACACCCTGTATAAAAAATGTATGTGTGATTAGTTAATTGACAAAAAATTATACAGGGTGTTTGTAAATAAGTGCGAAATATTTTTGGAGGTGGTTGCCGAAGTTATTTTTTATTTTGAAAAAAAGTTCATATAAACCTAGGTCGAAATATGCTTCGTTTCTGAGATACATAGTGTTTAAATTTTAATTTTTTATTTATTTTTTTGAAAGAGTTTTGAACATTCTGTATCTCGAAATCGAAGAATTTGTTCGCACATTCACATCAACTTTCCATTTTCAATGTTGAATTGCATTTTTACTTTGACCATAATAATGTTTTATTATAAGAGGCTTTTAAATAAAAAATTGACAAAACCTACAATAAAATATGTTTTATTTTTTACCTCAATAAAATTGAAGAGACCAATTTCATTCAGAAATGATGGCGGATTTCTAAAAAAATATTAACTGGCAAAAAGTCAGTGGCGTATCACTTTTTTTTAATGTGGCCTTCTTTTACGAACGCCACTCCAAAGCGTTTTTCAAATTTCGAGTCAATCTCTTTAAAACTGAAATAATTAATAAAAATAAATAAAAAATTTAAACACTGTATCTCGGAAACGAAGCATATTTCGACCTAAGTTTATATGAACTATTTTTCACAAAATAACTGGCAACCACACCCTAAAATATTTCGAAATTATTTACAAACACCCTGTATGACTTCCTTGTGCCAAAATATACAGTGTGTCGCCGGATTACCGTAAACTTTTTTATAGTTGATTTTTCGAGAAAAATTTATTCTTCATTAAAAGTTCTTGGGAATTTATCTTGGGAAGCCATGGACAGTATGTAATAAAACATACAGGGTGTCCAAAAAATTTCAAAATGTGAAATTTACCTTAAGCAAAGTGCCTTTAAATTTAGTTTTCGTCAAAAACTGTATTTAACAAAGTTGTTCGAGAACTCAAGAATAATCACATTTTGCAAATAAGATGACGCGATTTTTATCTACTTATATCTTATTTAAAACAGACAGAAATTGTAAAAAATAAGTAAACTTTTATTTTAAATAAAAATTTCTTGACATTTCGAGAGACATATCGCCCTCTTTCTCAAAAGTAATTCTGAAAGCTTCGAGTTTTTGAAAAGAGCAATATATATCTCGATACGCCAGGAAACCTAAAGCCTGTTTTACAGATACAAACTATTTTATGTTGAAAAAAATTGTTTTTCGACGGCCCATATCTCAAATACCTTTTAACCCACAACGATGTAATCTTGTACAAAGGGGTTTCTAAAGGTGCTGATTAACAATATCACTAGTCTTTTTTCTAAAAAAATCGCTAATACTATTTTTTTGAAAAATCGACCCCCTTTTTTTCCATCTCAGAATCGGACGCCTCTGACTACAATCAAATATAGTATATGACTTTATGGGTATATATTCACCACCAATGTTTCAAAATATTTGGGTATCAAGTGAGCGAAATATCAGGGTGGCTCCATGAAAAGTGGGACACATCGTATATTTTCCAAAATCTGACTTCTTAAGATTTTGGATTGAATTTAAAATTTATTCCTGTCACAGACTACCCATGTGATCTTTACCGGTTTTCCCCACGAATGTACCTGATTATTATCGTTTTTTTTTGTCCTACATTATAAGAAATTTCAAACGACTTGGCATCGCTCCGTCGCAGAAAACAATTACATTACATACCGGCAGTTGGCCGTGTAATTTATGCAGTCAACGATAACTCGCCCGCCTGATCATGGGGCGGCGGCGGCGCTGCATCCGCACCACTTACCCTGCTGCTGCTGTTGCTGCTGCTGGAGCTGGAGCTTCTCCAGGATGAGGGGGTAGAACTCCTTAGCCGTAGCATTGTTCGGCTCGTATTGTAGGACTAGAAAATAAAGGGGGACGCGAGCCATTATCAACACCCACCTATCGTTTATTGTGGAGAGATCCCAGTTTATAGTGTTTAGTGTGTTTCTCACACCGCCCACATAACAATAATTAATTCACTGGTGAATGCAAGCATTGTCGTTCTAGAAATTGTACCGGCTTGTTTCTGTCATGCTCTCAGAACGCGATGATTCCCGTGAATAGATGGCGCGACCCAGTTTCTGATGTTTATTTTTGACAGATTTCCATTTAAACGTTTCTCTTAAAATGCTTAGTTCTCGGGACGAACGAACTAAATATGTATTATCTCAACAAAATAAGTATACAGGGTACAAGGTACAAATTTTGATGAATAAGTCAACCAAGAGAAATTGCTGGAAATAGTTTTCAAGTTCGTAGCTCGGCCGCTAGGGCGCGCAATCTACATACCAAGATATAGAGTTGAATTTTTCTCAGAAATGTTTCCCATTCAGGTACATTAAATAGTACAAATATGGATAGCCGGATCCATTGCGCATAACTTTTGTTATTGATATTTTGTCCTATCTCTCGACAGAAAGGGTGGGGGAAGCCGCTAATGTCTGATTAGAAAAATGCATTTTTTTAAGGATTGGCTCATCAAAAGCCCATAGTGTTATACCTCGTTGGAAAGGTCTTTTCATGCTTTATCTCATGGTGAATTCGTCATGTCATTTACCTCAATATGAAAACCTATAGATGGCTTTATTTCAAAAGAATGCCGTTTAATGAATTTTTCTCAAAAATTTTAAATACAATGCCATAGTTTTCTTTACATAAATGAATATGGTACAAGTTTAAAATGTTTAACGAAAGTTGTTTATTTATTGGCGCTATTTATTCAAGTTTGGGTTGTTTCACGTTTTCTTAAAAACGTGAAATAGCAGGATAAAACTTTTTATGGGTTAGTTTGAAGGGCATATAAATAGCTACATTTTGACTCCAAAAAGGGTTCTACAGGGTGTCCCGTAAAGTATGTTACAAACTTTGGGTGGTGATAGTACATAAAAAAATATGACTAAAAACTCTAATAANTTTTAGTAGGATCTTCTACGGGATTGGAGGCCCCCTTTGGGAAAGAACCGCAATTAATATTGCTTTTACCGAAGTGAACGCGAATTTTTGGATAAGGGTTGACATGTGCTCGAGTCAAGATGAGCAGGGACAAGTTACCATGAGGATATGGACAGGGGGGTATTTGGAAAATGGTTTGCATCTATTTTGCCTCACATCGAACCTGGCGCAGAGACTGTCCTGTACAGGGTGATTCACAACTTATTCAAAAAATAGAGGGAATAGATGCGTCATTAAAAATGGAGTCGATATCGTAAAAAAAAGTTTTGTAAAATCCTTATAGTTTCCGAGAAAAAAATTATTGAAGTTGTAGTATTTTCAACCTTTACATCGGTGGGCTGCTAGTAGTCTCCAGCGTCATTCGTCCACTTGACCCCAAGCGATTCCGAATACAGAAATCCGATTTTAGTATTACCGTCTTTGCGATAGTGTTTACATTAGTTTTTCAAGTGTCAAAAATGACTTGCGTGTGTAGCAACTCGGAGTTGATGCATATAGATTTAATGTATGGTAAAGCAACACAATATTTGTGTTATGGTGAAGCAAGACAACATTTGTGTTAGTTCGTAGAAACTGGGTAAGATGGACTCAAATGTGTTTACACGTCTGTGGACAAAATTCTGAACGGTTGTTAACAATTAATTAAAATCACAAATTAATTTGAGGGTTGCTTTCGGTATGAAACAAAATAAAACTATCTGTCAACAGCAAAAATAAAAACAAATTTAGTGAAAAAGAAGTGTTGTCGGGGCGAGCGTTCGCTGGAGAGTCTTGGTATGGCTCGCATGTGTCTGGTTCTGGCGCCAATCTGTCGTGGACCTTTCCAGGAGCCCTGGTGTGTCCCGCGGGTATTCTTTGTCCTTGCAACTGTTAAACCGGTCCGGACCAACTACGACTATTTTGGCTTTACATCGGAATACACGTACATACGAAGTCTTTTTAGAAAATAACTTTATTTTTTAAATTCTATTATTAATTTTATACATTATTGGTTCTTGTCTCCATCAAAGTACTCCCCTGACCCATTCAGACACTTTTCTCAGCGGTTTTTCCAATTCGCGTAGCAGTCCTGAATAGCTTTATTTGAAAAGTATGTGAAGAATTTGCTCTTATGTCAGCAATAGACTGAAAATGGCGTGCGTCCATTCCACACTGATTTTAATTTCGGAGACAAAATCGCAAGGAGTAAGGAGGGTGATTCTGATTTTGGCATAAAACTGAAAAATTGTCAACCAACAAATCCAACAAATTGGAGACTGACGTGTTTACTTGGGGCGTCCTTTACTAATCTATTGTTATGATTGAACTTTCTCAAAAACTGAATTTTAAGAAACGTAAGACTTATGCGACATTGCATAAAAAGCTTGAAAAAAACGTGCAGAAAATCCGGATTGCCCTTACCGCCGCAGTGACGTCACACTAATTGACAATGTATAAAAATTAATGTTGGCATCTGCAAAGACCCCGGCGACGGGAGGAATACCGATTAGCTTGTAAAAACCTACCCTCGCAGGGTTTCTTTTGCGTCGTAAGCATCATATAATCTTTATGGGACAGAGGAATGTGCTGGCAAACGGTAAACGGTCTTTCTACAAAAACATTTGCATATTTACGTCTACGAGGGGTCTGGTTTTCAGCTTTCAGTTGTTCAGCTTTCAATTGCCCGATATTAAGCTGGCTTTCGGGTTGTTTCAGCACACTCCTCTTCATGCGAGACAGCAATTTGACGAAGGCAGACAGGGCGCGTGGAACATAATGTTCGAAGTAATGGAAAAGGGGAGCACATATATTACACGCGTTACAAACGTCGAAAATAATGTTTTCCTCATTACTTAAGAGCCTTTACGTACTGCTAAAGTTGACACCTCTTTAATCTTTTTCGTTATTGTGTTTCGATCAACATGGTTAACATTCCTTGTTAATACATACAGGTTCGGAAAGTCCCCATGGTTCATCGGCCGTTACGTGAGAGCGATAAAGTAAGTCATAGAAATCCGTGCGATAGAGAAGGATGGCTATAATGAAGGCGTCTCATAGTCACCGCCCCTTTCGCCCTTCCACAAATAAGATCCACTTCCACTTGTAATTCTGCGACCGGTGGTCAACTTTGTTTTCGTCGTTTGGCTTTTCTTTAATAGATGTCACTATTTATACAATTTCGACTTCGGTATTCCGATATGTTAATACAATCCGTTAACAGAGGGCAGCACAATTTGTCTAAGGTGAGGCGCAGCCCTAGAAAGAGTGATGCCAGATCTACAGATTTTTTTGGAATTGGGGAAATAGGTAATTTTGTTTTATTTCTTGGGATTTTTAAGTCATTTTAAAAAGTATACTTAAATAGCAGCTAAATGAACTTTAAATGTAGCTGAGCACTATACTTCATTTGAATAACTTCTCAGTAGGGGAAACAAGGTCACTAGATTTACAAACAGAGGTATCTACTAGCTACTCTAAAAAGTTTTCTTTGTTACGCGTTGTGCTGCCCTCTGTTAACGTATTGTATTAACATATCGGAATACCAAAGTCGAAATTGTATAAGTAGTGACATCTATTAAAGAAAAGCCAAACGACGGAAACAAAGATGACCACCGGTCGCTGAATTACAAGTGGAAGTGGATCTTATTTGTGGAAGGGCGAAACGGGCGGTGACTATGAGACGCCTTCATTATAACCATCCTTCTCTATCGCAAGGATTTCTATGACTTACTTTATCGCTCTCACGTAACGGCCGATGAACCATGGAGACTTTCCGACCCTGTATATGATACAGCTAGAAAATCAGTTAAACTTGGGAAATGATGGCGACTCATCTAAAAAATCCCTGTTACCTTTGTTTTGAATTTAATTAAACATAACCGGGGTTCCATTAGAGAATCAGCATCTAGTATTTTAAATCCTACTTCTGACTGGTCGTCTAACTAAATTATACAGGGAGTAACTTTAAGTGAGGGTCTATTTTTAGGAGTGGTGAGAATATACGGTGTGCTTAGGCGCATATGGTGACGTCACTTGAGACCAAGACGAAATCATGGCATGAAAATGCAACTTTCTAGTAATCAATAGCTGTTGGAGCATAAAGATATTCACATCATTAATTTTATTATGCAAAACAATTTATTAACTTGCAAAATTCGAACTTGACAAAATATTTAAGGTTAGGTAGTTTCATTCTACAAAGTTAATCTGATTTTTTAAACACTATTGAGTCGTGTTTAAAATAAAGTTAAAATAAATCAGTAAACAATCTTATCATATGTTTTCAAAGGCATTCTCAAAGCTACACCTGAATGTTATCTACTTGGGCTCTGTCGAATGAGACGCATGACAGATTTATTAACCTCATTAGGGAAATTGAATCCTACAACGGCAATTCTTTCATTCACAGTGCTCTCCTTGATTGTTAAAATAAAAGCTAAACTTACTCAACTTGCAGTATTTCAGTGCAGTGACGTAGTCTTTCAGCATCACGGCAGAGAGGAACTGAAACAAAAAGCATCGCTTACTACGACCATACGAGTCAGATGACCCCTTCATCAAATTTTTACTGACCGAAAGCCCTATCAAACGGTTATGCAAAGCAATTAACTTTAGAAACTCTGACTAATAAAATATTCAGACAACAGTCATGTATGGCGTCATAGTCTGCACAAACAAAAGCTGTCAAATAACAAAGGGTTGCAATTTGAGAGCCATTTGTCTTCTGAAGCATCATTTAAAAACACATGTGTGTTACCTTCGTTTACACAGTTAATACAAAGCATACCACGTTGTAAACGTAAAATTTCAATTGTTTTATAAAAAAACAATAATTATCTCAAATAAAATCGGTAAAATGTTTTAGATACACTTATGGTTCTCATAATTAAGCCAGAAACTGATTTACAAATGATAATTAACTAAAATCCATTGAATTCAGATTGGGAATTCTGGGGAGACATAAAATTTTCGTATATTTTCCCGTTCCATTATTCAATTAATGTGTATTGTTGAATTATTCTGAAATATTACTCGATATGATAAGCCCAGGTTGTTCTCCCAAATCCCAACACCCTGTAAGAAATATCAAGAAAAAAAATATGATTTGCAAGTAGGATTTTATAATTTAAAATAACTCTAAATACATCTATAACACAGGTCTGCAAAAAAGTGATTGTTTGTTCTAGAGCAGCTGAGGGTCATTCCCGAAGTAATTTTTTGCGTAGAATCCGAATCCGACCTCAGAATTGCTCCATCACGTCATTCTTCCGAGATATCCTAACCTAAAGTGCGAAAAACGCCATTTTTTGCTATAAAGTTTTATGATTTCCAAGAAATTCTGATCTGAATTCATTGGATTTATTTAATTTTATCTGCTATCTAATATAATTAGAAATTTCAAATGATTGGGACTGAGGAAATTTTCAAACAAAATTAACACTCCGATATAAAATCAAGAAAGTAGTAAAATTTTTACGAGTTTGGGGATAATCGGGATTTTTTTATAAAATATGACATTTTCCCTTCAATTCACAAATAAAAAACTTCTCTTCAGGACATAACCGTGGTACCTAAACACCGTATTTTTTTCTCCGGTTTTCAACATATACAGGGTGATCCATTAACGGTATCGAGCGGCTGAAAATAGGAAACTAGACGTGCTACGATTATGGGGTAAAAAATCTATTAACAAATACGACCAAAAGAAATGGATTTAAAATATTTTCAAGTTTGTAACTTCACCACTAGGGTGCGCAACTGCTATAGTGTTACAGAAAATTGTCGGTTTTTCGAAATTTCGCTTATATAACCTAAGTTGAAAATACACTTTTTAGATAGACTGTTAAACCCTACACAAGTTTTGTTTGAACTTTTTTTTTGTTATTACCGTAGCAACGTCAGTATGAAACGCATTATCTTGAAATTTTTAAATTGTCATAACTTCTAAATGCCTTAATCGATTTCAATAAACGATGGCTCATTTTAAAGAACTATTAATAAAATTTATATTTATGATATGGCAATAAAAATATTATTTTCCTGCGCAACGGTAGACAACGCTAATGAGAAAAGTTTTGTAATTGTCTCCGTTTACTAAAAAAATTAAATGCAACGATATAGGTTTTTTTTCATGGCGTGATTCGTTTATCTTTCAAATTTGTTTCAGATAACTTTGACAGTTCGTAAATTAACAAATAAAAACTTTTTTTAACTTTAACATCCTCTATCGAAGAACAGTAGAGTAGGACTTATGTTTATATGAACTAATAGGATTCTATATCAAATGCTAAAGTACTAATCAATAAAACCGAGACACCCTGTAGATAGTGTTAAGAACTAAAACACAAAATGTGTCGAAATATTAACATAGACTATGAAAAATGTTTTAGTAATGTGAGAATCTACTTTTCATTGTGATATTTCAAAGTAGGTAAAAATACGTATGTTAAATCCACGAATAACTATTATGAGGCTTGGAAAATGCATACGAAACAGCCAGTATACAGGGTGATCCAGTCATAGTGTCAATAATTTTAAAAGAAGATGGGAAACATGAGCAGAATACGAATACGTCATTAAAAAATGTTAAAATGTATATTTAGGCTGAAAAAAAAATTTGTCAGGTCATTATTTAAACCCCTTTTTGGACCACTCATGACCTGACCTACAAAGGTTTATCGAGAGTGAATCTTGGCCTANTACATTTTCATAATTTTGACCATTGTTTTAACAAAGTTTCCCAACTAGTCTCGAGTTGATTTTTTGATATTTTGTTTATAACACGTTTCTGAACAATATTCCGCAGAAAAACTTCTAATAGTATTTTTTTCCCGAAAAATATAATGATTGGCCTAGCTGAGAAAATGGGAGTGAAAGGGTAATTTTCTTATTCTTTAAAAGGTCGAATACATTTTTTTCCGATTTTCTGTCTTTATTAGGTCTTCCAAATACGTGGTTAAAATTAATGACATTATGACTGAATCATCTTGTGGAAAATGGAACCAAAATAAAATTACGCATATTGAACAGATTCCTATTGTCATTTTCAAAACTTTCTGCAAACTTAGGGATGAGAATACTAGATAGCGATACTTTCGAAATAATCCCTGTTGCCTTTATTTCCATTATAAACAAGGATAACAAAAATTTTTGGAAGTGACGCCATCTAGTAGTTTCGTTCCTAACTTTGATCGGCTGCCTAAATATTTATAAATAAGTAACAGATTCACATTAATTTTTTTAAATTCTTGTTACCGAATTTTTAACTGTCATTATTTTGCAATTCTAAGTTCTAGAATTGTTTATTAAACATCACATCGCCATCTCAAAGTTAATCATGACAACAAAATAACCAACTACAGGATCCTGCGCTGAGTGATTGTACAAACAAATATTACACGGGCCACGTGATTTATTTGACGATAATTGGTTCACGCGTCCGCCCGTGCGATCTAGTCGACCGTGGCCGATCCTAATCCCTAAAACAAGCGAACGGGGGCCGACAAAAGCTCTCAAATTCCAAAGCCACCTCGTTATCATCCGGCACTACGTTACAGAACGACCGATTACACGCGCTAGCTACTCTCTGTCGCCCGATCACTCCCCCAATGGCGTTAATCCCCTAAAAGGAAAATCACCTCTGCGAGAAACTCCGTGGGCGCCGAGATGCTCTCGTCGGCGTCGGTGTACTCGCTGAGGTCCTCGTTGCTGCTGGAGGTCGGCTTCAGCAGGCTCACGTTTCCATTGTCCTCCGTCGTCATGACTGTCGGGGGGAGCCTGCAACAGACAACGGAGGTTAGATCATAGAGAAACAAATAAGAGTATTAATTTAATACCAATTTCATGGGAAAAAAATACAGCCACATCCAACGGCCACCTGGATTCTTTTGGTAACTAGTTTCCCATCAAATTAATGTTTTTTTGTGTGTTATTATTATTTAATGACATGTTGAACAGCCCCACGCCAAAAAAAGTTTAATGTGTGATAGACTGGACGTTTTTGGTGTCGCTGAATCCGACTCCGGTGTACGTTTGACAAAGTCAAACTTAGTTAACTCATGTTCAATGTTATTGAAGGTTAACTCTTTTTTATGGTATCACAATTGCTGACCCCGAGACAACTCGATAAGAAAGAGCTAGAAATTTTTTCATTTTCAAGATATTTGGTCAGGATAGCGAGATATTTTAGAAAATGAAATGAAATGAAAAAGTTGTTTGGATCATCAGGGACTACTTGGTGACCCTGGATTTGATCTTGAAGATCGTTCTGATAAAAATAACTAGAATCGGTTGAATGAATTGTGAGATGATGATTTTTGTATCTGAGACCTGGTTTTCATGATTATGAGGGCATAAGGCAACTATAGACTTATTCCAGAAATTGAACCTACATACTTTCAGCTTGTGACCTATGCATAATTGATCTCACAGTGAGTATATTTCAAATCCTGCTATCTCAAAATATCCTGGAGATGATGGCACTGTCCTGAGAGATGTTGTGAAGCATCATCCATCTTACAGTATTCAGAGGTGTTAATAACATAAAAAACACAAGAATCGACCTTGAAATAACCTTGAGCATGGACTTGAAGACTTCAAGATCACCAGATCCCGAATGACCAACCAACTTTTATAGAAGCATATTCTTCAATATCTCGTTTTCCTGACGAGAACGCGATATACCAACCTGAAAAGATGATGATCTTAAAATGATCTATAAAATGAAAAAATAACTCAACCACTTCCCCGAACGTAAAATTTCTTTCAGAATCTGGAATTTAGGGACACGAAATCGGTTTTCACGACTGAATTTGAGAAAACAAAGAGTGACCGTAAAATCCGCCCGTTTTTGCGTAGTGTGCAGCAAGAACGGGGAAGGTTGTACAGAGGTCTCCGTGGGTTTAAATTGATCGTCATGAAAAATCCAGGTGAGCATAATTCGATTTTTCCAATATTTGCCCGACTTATCCCTGCTTAAGGGGTGGAAACCACCCTTAGAACAAGAAAAATGAGAAAATAGTCGATAAATTCTTGGTAAAATTGGGGGAATTTCACATGGCAAGGGTAAAATCAGGAATGTCCTTCTAAAAATGCTCATGATAAACCCACCCCCCGCGTGGGGGTAAAACAAAAGATCGAATTATGGGGCCCGTCTTTCGTATCATTTGTCGGGTAGTGGGGGAAACAAAGTACTTCATGAAGTGGATATCATTCCCCGTCTGCTATCGGCAATAGGGGTGGTTTTACCCCCACGCGGGGGGTGTTTTTCACCTTGAGCATTTTTAGGAGGGCATTCTTGATGTTACCCTTGCCATGTGGAATTCCGCCAATTTTTACCCAGATTTTTTTTCTGTTTTCTTGTTTTCGTTTGTTTTCGTTCGTAAAAGAGTCTTGTGAAAAACTCCTTGACTATCAAGCAAAAGCGACGTTGTACTCTTTCAGTACACAGTATACGACTAGTATAAACAGGTGCCCAAACTAAAGAAGCGTACTCAAGCTTGGATCTGACAAATGCAGTAAATAATAAGTTGTCATGCTTCTGAATGTTCATCATATAACGAATTATAAAGTTTTTTTTGTACGCGCTTTCGTACATTCAAATCAGAGACAATAATATTAATAAAAATTGTGAACATTAGAGGCCATATAAATAACATCTACTTGAATCAATGCTATACCACACAAACTGAATGCGATTGTGGTATAAAAAAACGTACAAATATTCATGTTTTGAAAAAAGAAATTTCGTTCCGGTTTGAGAAAAGTTTAATTTATGTTTACGTATCTATATGTTAAGATAAATATCTGCAAATTTAATTTTGGGACAACGGAAATGCAAACTTATATCAAGCCAATCTTGGACCGATTCCAAATCAAGATCCAGATGAGAGTGTGCCGCAATGCCTCTAATCGTAAATTATACTGTTTGCCACTGAAAATGCAATACCAAGTAACCGTTATGGGCTTAAAATAAATTAATATGCCGCCTGTACAATTACATGACAAACCAAATGTGATGGTAATATTAGAATTTTCTCGTCCCCATATTTTTTACAATTTAACACACATATTTAACATATGTTTTGTTTCTTTGTTTTTGTTTTGTTCAAAGAAATACAAAATATTTCAGAACTGCATTGATACTATTTTTATTGTCTCAAATTTTTCCCAAAATCTCAGTCGTGTATTAAAATTTTTATTTCAAGTATCTTCTCCTGCATAGGGGAAATGCCACCTAGAAGCTTTTTAATGCAATACCTACCTAATAAAATGCATCATTGTCGTTAGGTTTTATGACAATGTGTAGTTGAACTGGTTCCAAACGACTCGAGTATGATAATAACTGCAGAATTTCAAGTGGTATTGGATAAGGTAAATTTACAATTTTCGCGAAGTCACTGAAGTAGCATAAAATTGAAATTACGCCAAGAATAATAGTTACAAGAGGTCGACTCATTTCGAAAAAGAAATACGATGACGTAATGAAATACACTTGAAGCATATGCGCTTACTATCGTCAATTCAAACTTGATCTTTCAAGAACATATCGCTTGCTTCATATGAAGAAACTATGGAACTTGGTTTTTTAAGGATAAATCAAACATACTCTGAATAACAAAATGAGGTGAACGAAAAATTGGCAAATATCGATACATTTTTAAACAACAGTTAAAAAATTATCTACTATTTCCCGGAAGATTTAAAAATGTTTCAGTTTGCCATGATATAAGCTCTATATTAATTACCATTTTCAAAATTCGTTGTCAAACAAGTCTTATTATTTGAAAAATTATACGGTGGTTGTCATAAAATTGGCACAAATAGAGACAGTAATGCATTCTAATGCGTTATAAGCAAGTGATAGGTGAGTGTCGCCATTGTTATAATGATATTTTACGTTTTGTCCAACTGTTCGATTTTTTTACGAATAACAAACATAAATTCAAGCAGTCAAGTCTTCGTTGTCAACGTAGGTTATCATGAATATTTGTTGATACGGTTGTTGATAAATAAAAAACTGATAAGTAGACATCGGAAACTTTGTGGCGACAACCAAATAAATAAACAGTAGTAATCTGTATTATGCTAGTAAGTGGCAATGCGTGTTGTAGTAGCAGAAATAGGCTAAATGTGTAGTCAACGTCCCTCAGCAAAAAACCTGAATTGTTCACCGTATCGAATAAATTGATCGATGCGAAGCTTCAGATCAGAGGCAGACTTGTACACGTTTTTGAACAATGACACGGATACTGGGATCACTAAAATGTGAAGTCGTTGATGCTTCGTCACCATTAGTAAAAATACATATTACATACATATGAAAAACTTCGACTAATTTAGATATGCGCCTGTGACCTCGGCAAATGGGTATTTATCGATCACAGGAGATGATTAACCGCGGAATACAACTGCGGAGCAACTGTTAATTATTTTCTACAATTATTATTGCTTAAGAAATTATTATTGCTGGTACTTATTATTACGTACTATACCTATACATTATATGGTAAGTTCCATGTGATGCGTTTAGTGTAGAAAAATAGACACTGACCCTTTTTGTTTCATACTATTATGCAAATATATACAGCGTGATGATAAAGTTTGGAACAAAATTAATAACTTTTGTACTTGGTGATTTAAAAAAAACGCCGAGACAGGTCGAGTTTGACCTCGGGAGGGGCATCTTTTAAGATGATTCAGTTGTATACAAGGTGACCCAGAAAAGCTGGACAAATAAGAAGTGGATCTTATTTGTGGAAGGGCGAAATGGGCGGTGACTATAGACGCCTTCATTTTAGCCATCTTTCTCTATCTCACGGATTTCTATGACTTTCTTTATCGCTCTCACGTAACGGCCGATGAACCATGGGGACTTTCGGACCCTGTATGTGCATATCATGTAGAACGTGAGTGAATCCTTTAACTTTTAGAATCGCGATTTCTCAGGAATGGTGGTTCTTAGAAAAAAAAGTATAGGGACCATTTTTGTAGATAATTTTCAGATTTATAATTTTTGTCAGAGCTACTTTTTTGATAAAACTTACCGTTTTCGAAAAAAATTAAAAAAAAAACTCAAATTTTGACCTTTGACCCCGAATAACTTTTTTAGCACACATGGGATCGGTGGGGACTTTTGAAACTTTATTTCTAATAGTGTACCCAAGGTCTCCACCAAAATTTAGATCTGTCGGATTTTTTTTTAATTTGACCACTATTTTTATGACTAATTTGACCGGTATTCAATTATGTACAGCTTTTCCCATTCCAAGAATACTTCCTACTATGTGAGTATAATATCCACACAAACATATTTATCATTTTTCATTTTCCACCGAGTATCATCAAGTTTTCATTTGAAATACAAATAAATTCCAGGTCAGCGTTAACCACTTATTGGCTACAACCGTGCGCTAAACGAAAAACACGGTTTAGTCGATAACATCGTTGCACCAAGCGGTTATATTTAGTTTCCCGTAATGGACGAAGAATGGAGCGAGGCATAAAGCATGTTTAATTCATCGGAGGACCTTTTCACGTGGTTGTTAGTCACACGCAAGCCGTACTAGGCGGAAATGGTAATCGGGGTGCCTTGGAGATTCTCCAAGGGATTCGGGGGTAATAACCTGCGGGATCAATGCGGGGCAAGATTTTGTCGGGATACATAAAGTAGTTGGGGCTCTATGAGCGGAACGAACGAAATTTTGAGGAATTGGCAATTTTTTTATAGCTGTAATATATTCGCCGGCTCTGCAGTAAAATA